CTCACTCTGCTGGCCAGACTGGAGTGCAGTGGCACAATCATGGCTCACTGCAGCCTTGACCTCTCAGGCACAACCATCCTCCTGCCTCAGCCTCCCAAGTAGCTGGGACTACACCTCCAGCAGTAACTGATCCTTAAAGGACTGTAAAAGCATCATAGACATTGGCCAAAACTATTAAATTCATGGCCAAATCTGGAAAATTTTTTAAAATATGGCTTCTACATCACTCCCAATGGCAGTACAATATACTTATGGTATGTAAAGAAGTACATATGATGCTTGATTTAATAAGCCTCCTTTTGGGGATTGAAGAGTTATAGGTCACAGTTCTCTCTAATAATGCTAAAGCTTCATTTCAAAGAAAATACCATGTATTTTAAAGAAAAATGTAATAATGGTAAAATAAGATTATAGAGTATACATGCTCTTCCATCCTACAAATTTTTTGGAGAATGAAATAAATGACTTTTTTTAAAAAAAAGAGATAGGATCTCACTCTGCTGGCCAGGCTGAAGTGCAGTGGTACAATCAGGACTCACTGCAGCCTTGACCTCTCAGGCACAGGCAATCCTCCTGCCTCAGCCTCCCAAGCAGCTGGGACTACAGGCATGCACCACCATGCCTGGCTAACTTTTTAAAATTTTTGTATAGAGACAAGGTCTCACTAAGTTGCATGCTAGTTTCAAACTCCTGAGCTCAAGTGATCCTCCCACTGCGGCTCTCAAAGTGCTAAGATTACAAGTGTGAGCCACCACACCTGGCTCTGGCTTTATCATTTCAACCCACCCAAAGCTATTCTTCCCGTGAACCAAGTGTATTACTCCCTGCTGACTCACCACTCTATCTTGAGTTCCAAAAATATCACGTTTCTGAAGTTAAATCTTTGCCTTAGATTGTATTAATTTCTTCAATCTTTGCAAGGAATAAAAACTGAGGGGGAAATAAGCTGATAGAATCACCACTGGCTACCATAAGGAAGCATTAATACCAAGTGTAAGACAGGGCTCTGTGACTCATGCCTGTAATCTTAGCACTGTGGGAGGCCCAGGTGGGTGGATCGCCTGAGCTCAGGAGTTCAGACCCACCTGGGCAATATGGCGAAACCCCATCTCTACTAAAAATAGAAAAATTAGCCGGGCATGGAGGCCCACACCTGTAATCCCAACTATTTGAGAGGCTGAGGTGGGAGGATAGCTTGAGCCTGGGAGGCAGAGGTTGCGGTGAGCTGAGATGATGCCACTGCACTCCAACCTAGTTGACAGAGTAAGACACCCTTCTCAAAAAAATAAAAAAAATTCACAGCAAGTGCAAGAAACAATATAATCGGCACAATAAAGAAAATCTCACAGGCGATAGAAGCAGAAATAAGAAGTTAAATTTTTCATAAAAGACTAATATAACAATTTTGGATACTCTGATACATGTTTTAAATTCTTCAAAATTTCCTGAGATGAAAAGATAAATCCTCTGCACCAGGACACATAGCCTGAGTTACTAGTTTCATAACTAGGGTTATGAAAGAGGAGTGCTCTAAGGAACAAGCTGCATTTGGAAACATTTTGCAATTTTCAGACCTGAGATCAGTGACCCAAAAGATGAGCTAAAATATTCTGAAAAACAATATCTTACAATAGACGTCACTAAGCCAGATATGATCCTTCCCCAGAAACAAAAGGAAAAACCGACAATGAAAAGATCTTACCACTTCCTTTGGAATTCAGAATCATCTGAAACGCTGCTGGTAAAGAAAATAGAGAGAAATATTGCTGGATTGCTTAGTCTTTGCTTGTACCTATTCAATTAATCATATATAGTAAAATTAGCTTAATTATAGTAATAAAGATATAGTATGTTTATAGAACATGTTATAGTTTTTCAAACTTTTTTTAGGCTTATCTTATTAACTCTTTTATCTGTATTTCACATAGGAGTAACGACAGTCCTTTTTATTTAAATTACCCTACCATTACTATTGAAACTTTTTAAATCAACATAATTCTAAGCTTTATTTACATCAGGTCAAACTTTTTTTCTGGCTGGATGGGGTAATAGTAGTTGTCATAATTAAAAGTGAAGAAATAACTTAGATCAGAATTAAAAATTTTCCCTGGTTTTTTACTTACAGGAAATCGTGCGTTATTCTTTTCCAGAAGGTAAAAAAATAATCTTGTGTGAGTAATAAGACAAATTTTCACACAAATAACCAATAACATGAGCTAGACAGATGTTGTTTATAAATTCTTTTACTTGTGCCATTTCTTTGAGAAGTTAGGAAAAAGAAAATCACTTAAAGTACAAAATAATAGATGCTTTGCCATTGGGACCTCATTATACTATGCAATAGACAAAGGTCAGGTCATTTTTAATATTAATAGTCTAAACTATAAAATCATGAATGGTATTGTAGTTGGGTTCTTTTGGTTGCAGAAATATTTACTTTTTTTTTATTTTTTATTTTTGTATTTAATTTAATTTAATTTTATTTTATTTTATTTTTGGGACAGAGTTTCGCTCTTGTTACCCAGGCTGGAGTGCAATGGCGTGATCTCGGCTCACCGCAACCTCGGCTCACCGCAACCTCCGTCTCCTGGGTTCAGGCAATTCTCCTGCCTCGGCCTCCTGAGTGGCTGGGATTACAGGCACGCGCCACCATGCCCAACTAATTTTTTGTATTTTTAGTAGAGACGGGGTTTCACCATGTTGACCAGGATGGTCTTGATCTCTTGACCTCGTGATCCACCCGCCTCGGCCTCCCAAAGTGCTGGGATTACAGGCGTGCGCCACCGCGCCCGGCTGTATTTTATTTTTTAGAGATGGGGTTTCTCCATGTTGGTCAGGCTGGCCTCGAACTCCTGACCTCATGTGATCCACCTGCCTCAGCCTCCCAAAGCGCTGGGATTACATGCATGAGCCACCGTGCCTGGCCAGAAAGATTTACTTGTAACCAGGGCAATTAACAATTCATTTAAAAGTTACGGCCGGGCGCGGTGGGATCGAGACCATCCTGGTCAACATGGTAAAACCCTGTCTCTACTAAAACTACAAAAAATTAGTTGGGCATGGTGGCGCGTGCCTGTAATCCCAGCTACTCAGGAGGCTGAGGCAGGAGAATTGCCTGAACCCAGGAGGTGGAGGTTGCGGTGAGCCGAGATCGCGCCATTGCACTCCAGCTGGGTAACAAGAGCGAAACTCCGTCTCAAAAAAAAAAAAAAAAAAAAAAGTTACAGAGATATTTCATGGAAGCTATGGAACTCTCTCCCCTACCTGTCTCTCCCCTTTGTGTCTCTCTTAACTAGATCTCTATGCTTCCTGATTAATATGGAAGAAAATAACTGACAACATATACCAATGTTTCCTCCACTTAAGGAAGTACCTCAGGCTAGGCATTGTGGCTCACACCTACAGTCCCAGCACTTCAGAGGGCCAGGTGGGCAGATCGCTTGAGTCCAGGAGTTCAAGACGAGCCTAGGCAAAATGGCAAAACCTTATCTCTACTAAAAATACAAAAACTAGCCAGGTGTAGTGGCACTCTCCTGTAATCCCAGCTACTCAGGAGGCTGAGGCACAAGGTTTGCTTGAATCTGGGAGGTGGAAGTTGCAGTGAGCCGAGATCATGCCACTGCTCTCCAGCCTGGGCAACAGAGTGAGACCTTGGAAAGAAGGAAGGAAGGAAGAAAGGAATGAAGGAAGGAAGGAAGGGAGAGAGGGAGGAAAGGAAGCCCAACTAAGTCCCTACTCTTTTTTTTTTTCTTTGAGAGAGGGTCTCGCTCTGTCACCCAGGCTGAAGTGCAGTGGTATAACCTCAGCTTACTGCAGCCTTGACCTCCTGAGCTCATATGATATTCCCACCAGGAGGATCGCTTGAGCCTTCTTTGAGCCTCCCGACTAACTGGGACTACAATTGTGCAGGTGTGTACCACCACGCTCAGCTTTTTTTTTTTTTTTTTTTTTTTTTTGTGGAGGAGAGGTTTTGCTGTGTCACCCAGGTTATTCTCTAACTCCTGGGCTCAAGCCATCTGCCCACCTCCGCCTCCCAAAGTGCTAGGATTACAAGTGTGACCCACGGCACCTGGCCTAAATCCTAATTCTAAATTCCTGCAAACGGATCTCAGATTGTTTCCGTTTAAATCTGAATTTCAATCTCTAATCACCTTTGACAGTGCTAGGTCATGTTGTACAAACGGTGACCAGAGGCCTACTCCTGGTACAGTTCAAAGAAAACACAACACACAGCAACAACAAAAACAAAATGCCAAGAACAGGCTGGGCTCAGTGGCTCATGCCTGTAATCCCAGCACTTTGGTTGGCCAAGGTGGGAGAATCACTTGAGGTCAAGAGTCTGAGACCAGCCTGGCCAACATGGCAAAGCCCTGTCTCTGCTAACGATATAAAAATCAGCCAGGCATGGTGGTGTGCGCCTGTAATCCCAGCTACTTGGGAGGCTGAGGCACAGGAATCACTTGAACCCAGGAGGCGTAGTTTGGGGGCAGTGAGCCAAGATTGTGCAACTGCACCCTAGCTGGGGCAAGAGACTGAAACTATATCTCAAAAACAAACAAATGCCAAGAACAATGTTAACATTAAAGCCAAGAAAACTGAACTTGCACCAATCAGCTACTTCAACTGCAATTTTTTATTGATCTGTCTGTTTTGGTAGCATACTGCATGCAATCTCAGTGAGCTCATTATAGATACACACACACACACACACACACACACGTGTGTGTGTGTGTGTGTGTGTGTGTGTGTGTATAATGGAACTACATCACTGGCTTCAACAGACATCTCATAACTATGAGAGATTCCCAAAGACATATCTTGAGACTTGTTAGTCTTCTCACTGTGTCTACCGAAATCTTATCAATTCAAACCTTTATAACTTTGATTTCTTCCTTTAAATTATTACTTGTTGTTAAGTCCACAGTGCTTCAGGACATGCAATGCATAAAGACCATCATGTGGATGATATCCCCTCAAGTTCTACCCCGCCGTAGTCCTGTTCATCTGATAGAATATTTAAACTCTTTTGTAGTTTGTTGTTTTTTTGTGCCTGTAAACTACTTTTCCAACTGCATTGTAAATTTGTGGAGGCCAGGGATCATGGATTCCTGTATTAGTTACCCACTGCTGAATAACAAATTACACCAAGATTTAGCAGCCTTGAACAACAAGCATTTATTATTCACATAATTTCTGAGGATCAGGATTCTGAGAACAGCTTAGCTGGATCAAGCTGTCAGACAAAACTGCAACTTCATGAGAAATCATCTGATGGCTTGACACGCCTATAGGATCCACTTTCAAGATGGTTCACTAAAACTGCTGTTGGCAGAAGGTCTCAGTTCATCCCAATGTGGGCTTCTACCTGACCTCCTCACAGTATGTCAGCTGTTTTCCCTAAAGCCAGTGATCTCTCTCTCTCTCTCTCTCATAAACACACACACACACACACACACACACACACACACACACACAGAGAGAGAGAGAGAGAGAGAGAGCAATAATCACAGTGCCTTTTTGTTACTTAATCTCTGAAGTTACACATCACAACTTCCACTTTATTCTATTGATTAGAAACAAGTCATTAAATCCAGCCATCACTCAAGCGGCAGAAAATTAGAGTCCACCTCTTAAAGGGAGGCATATAAAAAAGTTTTTGCATGTAGTTTTAGAAGCACCACACCTTGGCAGGGCACAGTGGCTGACGCCTGTAATCCCAGCAATTATGGAGGCCAAGGCGGGTGGATCGGGAAGTCGGGAGTTCGAGACTAGCCTGGCCAACATAGTGAAACTGAGGGAATGTGTTCTCTTTCCGGGTACACAAGGGGACATAGTTTTAAGGGCAAGAACTTCCCAGCACCACGCACCCCTCCCATCTCTTTCCATCCAGGAGATGGAACGTCTCTGTTTTAACTTTTGCGGGCAGGGGAAAGGGTCAAAAGTCAATCACTCCAGCGGAAATTCTAAGGACCTCCTTTCATTGACCTGGGGTCTTAGAGAAGGTGGGGGCTCCTCCCAGGTTAAAAGTCCCCTTCCTCCCCGCCTCTTTGGACTCCATGTTTGGATCCCCTTCCAGACACTCTCGTGTGGAAGTCTTTCTCTCTTCTTCTCCTTTATTCTCTCTCTCTCTAAATAAATAACTTTTCTGCAACACTTCTTGCGTCTGGTATTTATGAGCTTACCGCGCAACTGCAGTGGTCCCCTCTCTCATTCTTGAGATAGCGGAGACCAAGAACCTACAAACTTCTCTCACCTCCCCCACACCCCAAAACCCGGTTACAGAACCCCATCTCTACTAAAAATACAAAAAAAAAAAAAAAGCCAGGCATGGTGGCGGATGCCTGTAGTCCCAGCTACTCGGGAGGCTGAGGCAGAATTGCTTGAACCTGGGAGGTAGAGGTTGCAGTGAGCCAAGATCGCGCCATTGCCCTCCAGCCCGGGTGACAGTGCTAGACTCCGTCACAAAAAAAAAAAAAAAAAAAAGTACCACATCTTTTTAATGGCATCTTCAGAGTATACATTTGAGCCGGTAGTCAATTTTTATTTGTACTGCACTTGATCACATTGTACAATACTGAGAAAATTCACCCCAGTGAAGTGTAGGAGCAAATCAAGCTCATATCTCAAAATATTTGCTTTTGTTTCCAGCTTTCTAGAAAAAGGTTTGACTTAACATGTTTATTAATTAATTTACACATTTATTCTATCCTCTTGTAACAGTTATTTTGGGAACCTTATTATATATTAGACACTGTTATATAGTAAAGAGACACACATAAATATTTGTGTTTCTGCTCTACTGTACTTTAGAATCATCCTGGAGAAATTAAAAAAATAATTTTGCCTATCCCCAGCCCAGAAGATTAATTTTTGAGAGTAGGGCTTGGTATTGGTATTTTGTACAATTCTCCAGATGATTCTAATACACAACAAGGAACAAGCTCTACAGAGCTAGATAATTTTAAATGTCTTTTCCATGACTTGTTCTCTTCCATAACAGTCTTCTGACATTACAGCAGTTCCCCTATGCAAGGCCAAGGACATCCAGGTGACAGCACAGGGAAAAAAAAAATGTGTGTTTCTTGATCCTTTGGCACATAGTGTGTATTTAAATGTTTGGGTATATGAAAATTATAGTTGCTATTGCTAATTTTTTCCTATATTGCAAATGCCCTGGATACCACTTGTATCTCAGAACTAAGATTGTAACTAAATGGGGCACAGAATTTCTCTCAGCTTGGGTAGGACCAGGAGTTCAAGAGACCAGGGAGGCCTCCTCAGAGATTCACCAAAAGTGAGGCCTGGGATACAAACTTTCTTGGAACTTGCTCGCTGAGCTTAAGATTAGATGGTTCCCCACTTCACATAAACATTGCACTCCAGGGTAAAGATGGAGGCATCAGCTTCCTCCTCCAGCTTCCTCCTTCCTTGTTTCTCTGTTTGTAGAGCTTTACAAAGTCATTTCTCTCTGACTGGCTACTGACTCCTCTCACCCCTGGGTGGAGCTGAGTTCAGTGAAAAACAGGGTAACTTGGAAAAAACCACACCTAAATTGAAGAGTATTTCTTAAGGCCTTTTATGATCTATCTTTTCTAGTTACTGCCTGTCACACTATACAGAATCAAACCAGCTGAGTCCACAATCCAGGTAACAGCTGTTTAGGCTTGGCATCAAACAATCCTTGGGCTCAGAGAATGACTCTTCAGTGAGATTAGCTGTAACCTATGAGGCATCTCTGGCTACTTTGTAAGTATTTCTATTGCAAAAGGTACTGAGTTATTTGTTGAATCATGTCATTTTCTTGGAAAAACCTCTGCCTCCGTGGTTCAAGGGATTCTCCTGCCTCAGCCTCCTGAGAAGCTGAGATTCAGGCAGGCACCAAAATACCCAGCTAATATTTTTTGCATTTTAGTAGAGACGAGGTTTTATCATGTTGGCCAGGCTGGTCTAAAACTCCTGGCCTCAAGTGATCTGCCTGCCTCGGCCTCCCAAAGGGCTGGGATTACTAGCATGAACCACTGCACCTGGCCCCACTAACTTTCCTAAAAGTTATTTACTATGATTATCTCTGTGTTACAGAAGAGGAAACTGAAACAGAAGATGAGAAGGCAATGCCCAAAAGTAATTTCCACTTTAATCTTTTCCTCTTTTCTTCTAGCTTTCTTTCTGTTCCCCCTTCATTTTCCATTTTTTTCTTGATTATTCTTTCCCTTTCATTTGCCTCTTTGAGTTTCAGGAAAAAAAAAAATCATTCTTAGAAGCATAAATGTTGAACTCAAGAAAAGACAAGTAAAACCTGAATCAACTTGAAGCTGCTGTTCAAAGAGGGGAAAAAAATCCAGAACAAGGATTTATTCCCGACCCAACCTACTGTCTTCATAAGTTGGCTGGCTCATCTGACTGTCAAAACAAGTTTGGGAAGGAGGAAGAAATGAACATATTAGCCTTGCAACAATACTTGCCCCACCTCCCGCCCACTTACTTGAAGAGGAAGCTGATAAACTTCACCTTTGGGACTCCAAATGGTCTAGCTGCAATTCAGCTGTAAACATTGTACTGTCTATCCTGTGGCCAAGAGCCCCAAGGAATCTGAAGGATTCAGACAGGTGAAGTGATAACCATAATAATGCCTTCCATTTGTATAACGCTTTTAATAAGAATGTTTTCATGCATCATTTCATATACTCACTTATGTATTCATTAAATTATATGGGAGATCTAACGTGAAAATGATGATAGTGTTTCCCTAAATGAGCTTGAGACCTTGATTTTTAAAAAATCATACCTTTGTTGTCTATTTTGATAGTTTTCGAATGCAGTTTCATGGAGGAAAAAAAAAATCATAGCGATGACCTAATGGTGCAAACTAAAGCTATCTCTGGAGGCATCTGTCTGAAGAGTCATGGGTAGTTTCCTCTTAATATTTGCAAGTTGGCAATATTACACTGAAGTCTTGGACTCTGTTGGCTGCCTGTAAGAACTCTCCCTGGAACACCCCAGAAGTCTCTACTGCTTTTCTAAAGAGCTCATGAATGGGAAAGAGCTTAAAGTTATAAGGACTTGGAAGTACTTTTTATGGAAAATTGGGGAAGTGAATTGGGAGAATTAACCTAAGCATTTAATTAATCTTCACAGTTGGTTTGTGACCTATGATTATATTAGCTCCTTTAGGATTTGTCAAGAGAACTTGCATGAGATTAACATCCTCCCCTTAATCCCTACTTTTAATGGAGTTTTGTTTAGCCTCAAGTTCTCAGCTGCCCCATGTCCCTGCCAGAAATCCTAGCCCTTCCCAGAGGTCGGCTAGAGGTGGCTTATCGAATGGAAAGAATGAAATGGTAATCCCTACTAAACACTGAAATTTCTGAATCCAGGCAGAACTTTTATCATTGTATGTAAAACAAAGTTGGGAAGTCTTCACATCTCCAAGAAGCAACACTCATTTAGAAGGTTATTTGGTTTGTTTCCAAATGAACAGGTAGTTTCAGTTAGAGCGCTACTTTTGCAAATCAGACAATTTTACTTAGTGAACATATAAAACATTCTTCATCTAATTTTATATACATAGGATGAACATTTAATGTACATTTAAACCAAGACATTGTGAAGAGTGAAAGGTGGCATTAAAAACAGTCACAACAGGACCACACATGCAAACACGGACTATCCAGTATAAAAAAGGACATGTGGCCAACCCACACATACATCAATATTTGAAACAGTTCTTCTCTATTCCTTAATTTTTTTATTACATTAGAATGTGGAGGATATTGTTCATTTTCTTTTTTATACTGAGAAGTAAATTTATTCATGTTTCTTGAAAAATAATCCTACATTCTAAGTCTCTGCTAATCTGTTTCGAATCTCATTATGTATTTTATTTCTGTGAAACTGAGATGTAGGCTTTTCACATAGCTATATTTTTGTTACATATTTTATTATAAATAATATATTTTATTGTAAATAATTATAATAAAATATATTATAAATAATATAAGAAATTATAAATAATATATTTTATTATAAATAATCCAGCAGATTATTTTTAAATACCTACAGTCTTTCCCATTATTTCAATATTTATTCAAAAACATTTAGTTTTATTTTGAACAACTTTGAAGTTTATTTTGGGATAAAAGTATCAGTTTTCCCTCCAAATTCTTCAAATTTTAGTAGAACAATGGATTCAGCTTTTAGAAGAACATTGAGGTAAGGCTCAGTGGCTCACGCCTATAATTCTAGCACTTTGGGCAGCTGAGGCGGGTGGATCACGTGGTCAGAAGATCAAGACCATCCTAGCTAACATGGTGAAATCCCGTCTCTACCAAAAACACAAAAAATTAGCAGGGCTTAGTGGCACGCACCTGTAGTCCCAGCTACTCAGGAGACTGAGGCAGGAGAATCGCTTGAACCCGGGAGGTGGAGATTGCAGTGAGCTGAGATAGCACCACTGCACTCCAGCCTGGATGACCGAGTGAGACTCTGTCTTAAAAAAAAAAAAAAAAGAAAAAGAAACAGAAAACAAGAAGAACATTGAGTATCTGAATATATCAACACTTTACTGTTTATTATCAGATATAAAAACTGACAATCTCCATCCTTCACCCCTATAAGTCAGTTGCCTGCCTAATTTATGTATAGATAGAGATGTAGAAACATAGAGATCAGTGATACATAGAATAGTACTGGGGCTTAGAACATGATATCCCAAAATATGGCACATTGCCATGCTAAGTAGTCGGAACTGAAGGAGACTGGAAGGGCTTCAGAAGCAAGAAGTTCTCTCTGAACTTCTCCAACCCTCCTTTCTCCTTCCCCACTTCTCCTCTGAGCAGGTCATACAAACCAGAACTCCTCTTCCCAAAGCAATTCATAAAACCCAGACGTGCCACTCTTTGGCCTTTTACCTTCTCTCCCAAAGACCCTCATGTGACAAGGGACCTGCCCTATATCCAGAGGAAATAATGCCACACGGGGGGCCAAAAAGCATCTGATCAAACAGGACTTCCTAAGTTCCCCTAGTTTATAATCATTTTTTGTCCAATTACATTTCTATATGGTTGTCCATTCTTCATTGAACCTAAACATAAAATTACATAGTTTTCCCTGTGTCTTTAGGTCTTGATTTCTGAAGGCTCCCTGTCACATAAAACTTTAAATTAAATACATTTATTATAGTTTTCTTGTGCTAACTTGTCTTCTGTATTGACATGTCGGCCATGACCTTAAAAGGTATTACCTTCTCTCTTTCTGCTCCTACAGTTTCTGGCATCCAACATGGAGTGGCTGAGGCACTTGACTCACTCCAGATACTGCAGTTGAGATCCTGGTACAACTGACAGAAAGCCAGCAAAAAGGTAAAAAAAAATGCTTTTACTGGCCGGGCGTGGTGGCTCATGCCTGTAATCCAAGCACTTTGGAGGCCAAGGCGGGCAGATCACCTGAGGTCGGGAGTTCAAGACCAGCTGACCAACATGGTGAAACCCCATCTTAAAAAAAACAAAACAAAAAAAATGCTTTTACCAGGGTCAGTATTTCAAGATCTCTGCCTATAGTCCTTGTGAAGGGAGAGTGGCAGGTAAAAATTTATCTTTATCCTTTCCTTTTCAAGTGCAGATTAGCAGAAGAAAACATTTGTTTAAATTGTAATTTGTGTGTAAATTTGGTTTTGGAGTACTCATTTGCTATTGATCTTTTAAATAAATGTGTTATGCTTTTCTCTTGTTAACTTTTTTTACAGCGGTGTTGGGTATTGACCTTGGAATGGGTGAGGAAGAAGGACCTTGTTGTCCCTAGTTTCATAAACAGATGATGGATGCATTTTATGGGTCTAATTCAAACACACACATGGGAAAAATTGGTTTGAACACTCCAGATTTTACGAGGGCTCATTTTGCTCCAGTTTTAAATTTAATTATATTTAACCTGGTGTTACGTATTTATTTTTCTCCTGCTATACTCACAGTTGTAAGGTGTCCGAAATTCTCTGGAAGTAGAAGTACAAACAAATGACCACATTCAAGGTTGTGATGGGAAAAAGAAACCAGGGGGTTTAGAACTGGGAAATTCAGAGGTTTAAGCAATGGTCCACTGGGGGAAAAGATGACACCACATTCGCAAGAAATGGAGAGGATGTCTAACACGTGCTCCTCCAGTCTGAATTATGAGGTCTTCTGGATTTATCTATTTTTTTCCCTGTATTTGAGTGCAAATATTACCTTCCCTTTCTGCACCAGTGTACACGTTGCTTAAGGTAAGGGCAGTAAGGAATTTCTGGAATACCTGTTCTTCAATAAAGTCATCAGCCATTTATGAACATTCTGCTCTAACTTGTTGGTCTTGGGAAGTAATTCCAGATTTGTGAGTGGGTAATCACATAATATGCCTTAGTAAGATTAACTCATCAGTGAGTAAAATAATAACAGCTAACATTTTATATCATGCTTGCTCTTACTGGATTCTATTTCATATCTTCTCTACCACTGAATCTTCTAAAGAACCATATGTGAAATAGATACTTTCATCGTCTCCATTTTCCAGACAAAGAAATGGAAGTTATTTCTGTTGAAATAACTTGCCAAGTTCATATTACTATAAAAAGGTAGAGCTAACAGTCAAACCCATGCAGTAAAGTTCTAAAACTTATCTAATTATCTACTACACGGTCAGGACTAGATTGACTAGAAGGAGATACTGAAAGCAGGAAAACTATGCAACAGATTATTGCATAGTTCAGACGTAAGAGGGTGAAGCAAGGGAAAAGAAAAGGCAAGGGTGGTGTTACAGAGGAAGAGACAGCAGGATTGTGAAGTTCTTTGGAGTTGTCAGGTTGTAAAGAAAACAAAGACATAGTTAGCTTGACTAATACAAATAATCTGGCTGGTAAAAAACACTGACAAAAAATGAGACTTTTGCCAAGCGTGGTGGCTCCCGTCTGTAATCTCAGCATTTTGGGAGGCTGAAGCAGGCAGATCACTGGAGGTCAGGAGTTCAAGACCAGCCTGGCCAACGTGGTAAAAACCCTGTCTCTACTTAAAAAAAAAAAATTAGCCTGGTGTGATGGTGCATGCCTGTAGTCCCAGCTACTCGGGAGGCTGAGGCAGGAGAATTGCTTGAACCCGGGAGGCGGAGGTTGCAGTGAGCTGAGATTGCACCACTGTACTCCAACATGAATGACAAAGCAAGATTCCAACTCAAAAAAAAAAAAAAAAGTGAAACTGTTGAGTGAAGGAATAACTTCTTTCTGGATATTTTGAATTTTAAAAAAATCTAGAATGAACAAAAAATGTTGGCATATTGATCCTGTTTACCAAACAAAATGAAACACCCAAATAAATGTTAGCTGTGTTTCTACATTATGTTTCACTTCACTGAGAGGAAATCACATTGGTAGAATGTATAGGATGTCTCCTCACAAGAATCATTTAAAAAAAAAAGTATAATTTTATTGTAGAAATAAAAAGAACAGGCTCCTGAAAACTTAATTTGTTCAAGGTCACACAGCTTGTGACTAGCCAAATCTTTTCTGTTTCCTTGATAATCAGTAATTATACATCAGAATATTCATCACTAATGATGATTTTCAATCCCTTAGGCAAGGAAAGCTCAGAGTGTGAAGAAATGTGGAGAAAATGAATGAACAAATGAATAGATAGATGAATGCATAATATGTAACTTTTAAGAATAAAAAGAATCTCCACCTGGAATTCTCTTTTCCTGCTTTTCCATTAAACCATGTAGGTTCTTTTATTCAAAACATTACTCAAAACTTACCATTTATTGTGAAAAAAAAAAACAAAAACAACTTTCTAAATGGAGAATTATTTGTCTCTATTTCCTTTGGATTTAGGTGTTTTGGGTTTTGTTTTTGTTTTTCTTAAGTGACCCTTAAAACACATTGGTGTGATCTCAAGGTATTTCTACTAAGCACCTATATAGGGGCTGGGCATAATCTCTTTCAGGAACCATAGCTATCCCAGAGAACTGGGCAGCAACATTAGATCTTCAGATTATTTTGAAATCTCTGTTAGGCCATATTTTATGGTTCACTGGGCAAACATATCTTATACACTGCATGAGTCTTTGTATTTGTGTGAATATTGACTTATCCTTTAGCTTTTAAGGTACTAGTTGCAGGAACAGAGATCTCTTTCTGCTAAATGAATCTTGACAGGTATACTTTACATTGTTTGGAGGCATTTTAATTCTTTCCAGATACACATTAACTTATCTAGTTTATTGACTGGAAGTTTTAATTCAACTGCAAAATGGGAGCAACACGTTCTTTTCCTTTTGACAGATTCGTGTCCATTAGAGTGTATCATCTTCAGCAATGGGTGACCAACCCACAGGTAAGTCTGAGGATTAACAGGACTTGCTAATGTTTTACAGTTTTCAAAGCTCTCATTAGGAAAATGCTCTGATGGCCATAAAAAGTTGGTCTTCATCTACCTATGCTCAGGCTAAGAATCTGCTTTCATAAATCCAACGTTTTTCCAAAGATAGTGTGGGGTAGTAAACAGCTGTTTTCCAGATCAGCTTAACGTGTCTTTAATACCAGTTTCAATTGTAGCTGATGTAATTGAGGTCTTCAAATTTTAGCATGATGCAGAATCACCTGGAGAGGTGGACTCTACCCCTGCAGTTTCTTATTCAGTAGGTCTGGGATGGAGCCTGAGAATGGACATTCTAACACATTTCCAGGTGGAAGAGATTCTCCCAGCCAGGGCATCACACTTTATAAACCACTGCCCTAGAAAGAGCGCTGTCTTACCAGTGGGACTGTAAGAGCAATAACATCCAAGAGAAATTGTGGAAACTTCTCTAGACAGATTAAGATGTGGTCATTTAAAATTTGATCTGGTTTTCTTGTTGTTTTCTTATTGTTTATTTATTTGTTTGGAAGGAAGTTGTGAACTAAAAAACAGAGATCGCTCCTATTTCTTTTGTCTTGATCTAGTGTTACTTGATTAAATTTCTGTCAGTGTCTGCTTCAAGATCCAGTACCTCTACTCTCACATCCTCTCCCTCAACCAAAACCAAAAGTAAAATAAAACAAAGCAAATATCTAGACAAAATGCTGTGGTCTCTTACCAGCACTTAAAAAGTTAACAACAGCGCCAACTAGAATTGCTCACAGCAGTGGAGGGTAAAACCAGGATTTGGAAATGCTGTGAGAACACAGATAGTTTAAACTGTAGACGAAGCCTGAGGAAATTAAAGGGGAAAACTTTCCATCCAAGGTTCCAGTTGCCAAGGAGTTTGTGTAGGTTGTTGGAGACCTCACCCCTCCGTGGCTCCTCTGTGACTCACTGTGTCCCTGGGAAGCCTTGGACTCAGGGAAAACTCAGAAACTCTGCCTTTGATCTCACCAGGATGAAATGCCCCAGAGAGCTTTGGTTTCTAAAACATGGATGTTTCTGATCAAATGGACAGTAGCAGAGCCTAGACTCCAATATTCCTAGAAGTCGGTGTGATTATGACCCAGGTGGGAAGGTTGAGATTAGAGAAAACCAAGTAATGGATCCCCCTGGAGGAGCAGGAGACAGGGAGGAAGAACTCACACACCCTTAGCCCCAGTTTAGATGTCGTGTGGCTTGACATTTCAAGGTCACTCCTGCTATGTTCCTGAAACCCAGTTCTGTATGAATCCCCCTTTTTGAGAGTTGAATGGTCTCCTCCAGGTAGAGAATGACACACAGATGGAATGGCTTTTGGTTCTGGATACATTTTATCCTCAGCCATTTCACATTTTGCCCTTGCAGGTCTGAATCCAATTTAAACCAGACGCAAATACGTTCATTTTCCTTTCCCCGACAAAGAAGAGTCCCTCATGCTGCAGTGCTTAATCAAACTTTTACCTGGTTCAGATGAGTGCTTCTCACACCTTAATGTATGTACATATAAATAACCTGAGGATCTTGCTAAGAAGCATGAGCTAATTCTGTAGGTCTACACTGGGGCCTGAAATTCTGCCTTTCTAACAAACTCACAGGTGATATAGAGATGGCTGCTCTGAGGACCACGTTTCGAGTAGCAAGGGGATGAGTTTTCAACCTTGGCCGCTCAATAAGATCACCCTGAGAAGGTGATTGCTGTTTGTTTTTAAGGCTAACACTCAGGTATCCAGAGACTGGTCTAGAGTGAAGCCTCATATTCTTTAAGAACTTCCTCAGTTATTTACGATTATTCAACCAGGATTGAGAAAACAAATCCAAATGAATGTTTTTCAAACTGTGAGTGCAAACATTAGCAGATCAGAATCAGAAATAACATTTAAAATATTATTTAAATGAAACAGAATGGAGCAGAACGCAGCAGAGCACATTATAATAGTGTAACCATTGTTTTGTGAAACTTTTTAGCTATGTA